AATTCAAAAGATAGTAGGTGACTGCTGTAAGGGTCGACCTATTGTCAGTTTGAATCTAAACTAACCAGCAGTGAAGGAGGGGTTTGCATACTCATGTGTGAGTCCTCATATTGCTGAATCGAATCTATACTGACTAGTACGTATGAGGCGGTGAAGGTCTTCTTACTTCATACTTACATTGGATCGAAGTATATTATAGTCCTCTGTTAGAATTGAAGTTTTTGTTGGACTTCGTGTAGGGGCATGTCGATAGCAAGGGAGGTGTGCCATATAGTAACAGGTTGGTTCGCCAACTCAACTCTGACTCACCCATAACACCCACACTTTGCATCAACCTTTGCATTAAATGGCATTTCTAATTTTCGGGTCAGTGTCTGAAGGGTCTGTGTTTGGTTGAAAGAGGTCATTGAATGACTAAGTTGCAAAATAAATGTCTGGCTGAGAGGTTTGAAAGTGTAGGTGTAATGTGTGTGAAAGTGAATGAATGGTGACTTGGTAAGGATTGTGTAATGTGAATGAAACTTGTTTGCAGGTCTGTAAAACGACCAACCACGTGTCATTTGCGCAACTTGCATTGCTGAACTTATGCTTACCCGAGCCTCGACTCATACACTTCATCGGCATCTAACCTTTGTACATTTGGTTTGAATCTCCTACTCTACGTTTTCTTGATGCTAAATAGATTAGGATAAATGGCAAGGCCGAGAGCCTTATTCATGTAATTTTCTTTGAAAGGTCATGAGCCTACCTTTTATTTGTGATGCATGTATTCAAAGGCCATGAACCTACTTTATCTGTTATGCCTAGGCCATGAGCCTATTGTTTGTTTTTCTTCCAAAAGTCAAAACTTCGTTCATTCTGATGTTGTATTTGCTTTGTGTAAAAATGTCCAGTCATCTGCTTGCCTTTCAATCTGAACCTTTGAATTATATTCATTATGTGTGTATCAATCCGAAAGAATTATTATAACATATAAAATTTATGAGTAAGTTAGATTATAATTGTATGCATGAGATATCGTCAGTCAAGTGGACCTGAATTGTAAGTCGGTCCGGGAGATCAGCGCCCGGAGTCCCGACACGTAAACGAGTCAGTCTTAGGCATTCAACCGCGCATATGCCTATGCTAAGGCGATTGAGCAAACGCCCTCGGTCGGTGTACCTCTGCCATTGTAAGTAAAAACCTTAGTACGTGAGTTGCCAGCTCAGCAGAGATGCGTCTACCTAAGGGTGGTGGCAACTCCTCAGGTAGAGGTGAGTTGTACCTCGCGGAGCTCTGTCCTGTCGCATAGAGTCGTGGAAGGTATAACTGGTACGCACGGTCGGAGTGGTATCTCCACTTACTCGGTCGAAAAGCAATACCTTAATCCTACGTGACACGACCGTGAGATCCTACACTCACTGTAGGGTGTGGGACCGCCGTGCCCGACAGCGCACACATGCCAGAGAGAGAGAGAGTGCACGCTACTTAGTTCTCTTGAATGTGGCCACTGCGCTGCACCAGACGCAAAGACTAACTCGTACATGTGCGCTCGTGTGTATGTGTGTGTGTGTATGTGTCTGTGCGTGTGTGTATGTGTGTGTGTGTGTGTGTGTGTGTGTGTGTGTGTGTGTG